CTTTCCTTTTTTGTTACACCTTTGGTATGCCAAAAAGCATAAGACCCAACAATGACGGTCTGCAAAGCATGTCTTCAGAGCAACACTTCCTTCTCCCAGTCTGGGGCACTACAGACTGGTCAGCCTCACATTGGTCTCTGGGGAGATCATGGAGGGAATCCTCTTGGAACACATTTCTGGGCACAAGAAGGAGAAAATGATTTGGAACAGTCAACATAGATTTACCAAAGGTAAACCTGATTACCCTCTATGTGTCTAAGTTTGTAGATGAGAGGAGAGCAGTGGATGTCATTTACCTGGGCTTTAGCAAGGTTTTCAACACTGTTTCCCACAGCATACTCCTGTACAAGTTAGGCTGTATTATATCCTAGATGTGTGAACAACCAAATGGATTAAAAATGGTTGGATGATCCAGCTCAGAGGGTAGTAGTTAGTGGGTTGTACTCTACCTGGAGGCTGGTGACAAGGGGAGTGCCGAAGGGCTCTCTCTGTTGGGACCTGTCCCATTTAACATGTTTGTCAGTGACCTGGGGAAGGCAATGGACTGCTTACGCATAAAGTTTGCAATGACACCAAATCACCAGTTGGGGCAGGGGAGGCGGTTTTGATACAGTCAAGGGAAGGGCTGTCATTCAGAGATACCTAGGCAGGGCTGGAGCCGGCCAACAGGAACGTTATGGAAGTCAGCAAGGACAAACGCAAAGTCCTGCACCTGAGAAGGACTTACACTTGCACTTGCAGTGATACAGGCTAGGGACTGACTGGCTGAGGAGCAGTTTTACTGAAAAGGGCATAGAGATTTTGGTAGAGAGCAAGCAGAACATTAAGCAGCAGTGTGTGCTGACAGCAAAGAAGACACAATACTGGGCTGTATGAGCAGGAGCACAGCCAGGAGGTTGAGGGAAGTGATTGTTCCCCTTAGCACTCATTAGACCACACCTAGAATACTGCACCCAGCTTTGGCCCTCCAGTATGAGAAAGACATGGATAAACTACAATAGGTTCCGCAGAGGACCATCAGGACAGTCAAGAGCTGGAGCACTTGCCCTATGAGGAGAAACTAAGGAAACTGGGCTTTTTCAGCCTGGAGAAGAGAGAGCTTCAGGCAGACTTAATAGCAGCCTTCCAGTACCTACAAGGAGGTCAGTCATCAAAAAGATGGAGCTAGGCTTTTCACGGTGGTGCATGGCAAGAGGATGAGAAACAACAGGCATAAACTGAAACAAGAGTGACTGAATGTAGAAAACCTTTTTCTCCATGAGGACAGTCAAACACTGCAATAGGTTGCCCAAAGAGGTTGTGCCATCTCCATCACTGGAGGTTTTCAAGATCAGGCTGGAAAAAACCCTGAGCAACCTGGTCTAACCTTGTAGCTGACTCTGCTTTGAGCATGACATCAGACTAGAGACCTCCTGAGATCCCTTTCTGAATTATTCTATGATTGTGCAATCCTAATATAGTATCACAATTCTGTGCTATTTTAAAGCTGGGATAGTAATAGCAAAATCTTCTTAATTGTTCTGAATATTTAAATGATTTGGCTGTGCATTGCTCTTGCTTTTGGAACCAGAAATGCTACATATGCTCTGTACGTTCTCCAAACAGCTTGTATTTGTGCTTATTTGCTGGTGTGACGTGCTAACTGTGCAAAAAATTTTGGACTCCTGCCTTAGAATATAGATACCTGCCAACAGAAAATGAAGGCTACATAGTGCTGCAAATGCTTTCTCTGTCTATGGAAAGTGCCTCTTATGTGCCAGAAAGAAGCATTTATACCACATGCTTTTTTACTGCTTCTCACATCTGTTAACATTTACATGTGTCAGAAAACGATACCTGAACAGTAAAGGGAAGGGATACACAAAGTTCAAGGGCATCAAGAAAAAGGACATGTTATATTGCACTGGTGCATTGGAATAAACAAAGACGTCTTGGACCTGTCAAATATATCTAATATGTGGGTATGGTCTGTGTATACTGTCTATGAATACATTTCCATACCTGAACTGGATGACCCAATTTGCCAGTAAATTGAGCTGAACCCATGAAAAGGTCAAGGAGTGGCAGCCAGGAAGTGAAAGAATTATAACTTTCTTGGTACATACAAAAAGAATAAAATTTTATTTCATTTAAGGCAGGGTTTACATCAAAATCTTCAAAGTTAGGTTCCTAAATATGGAATTACCTACTTATATTGAGATATTTTGCATTTCCGATAATCTTCTTTTCAGCTGCCTTTTTGTTAGCACAAAAGGAGGAGGTTGACTGACAAATGTTGCTGTATATCCTCAGTCCTCAGAGGCAGCTACTGTATTAGACTGTGTTTCCAAGAATATTTCTTTGAAGTCGTATTGTGAAAATCCTGAGACACAGCGTAGTACAGGATTTTGTATGACGTGGCAGTTCTTATGGATGTTACCACTGGCAAGTGATTTAGAAGAACAACGAATTAGAGAGGAACTGATCCTTGATCTTCTGAACTCAGAATGAAAAAAATCAGTATTTGATACCTTTATAAAAATTGCTGTTTGCATTGGTTGCATTTGTACCACAAATTCTTTAGACATCTATTTGGGTACTTTTAACCAGTGTTGTGTAGTAGGCTGTTCTTTGACACCTAACCCTGATTTTCCAAAATCCATCTGCAATAAAGAGCACAGTTCCCCCCCTACTACTATTGTTATTGCTTAATACTGAGCTCTGCATGGAAAGTGACAGAAAAATACCTGTTTTCTGAAGTTTTCTGAGCCTAGAAAGAAGTGTTGGCTAAAAGAAATAAATAACCTTGAACTGAGTCCCACCTAACATGTAGTCATAATAAAGGCAAAGGTCTATTTTTGCTTTTTGCTATATTTCTACTATATAATGTGTCTCCAAAACATTATTTTTGTGATGAGCTTCTGCTCTTACAAACTGATAACAAGTCTTATGCTGAAATTATTATGAAAGTTTCAGTTCCACCGTCACTACGCTGAAAAAGCTTTCCACTAGGTCTGCGAAGATCCAGTGAATAATCACGTAAGGCATGTAGTTTCCTTGCCCCTAGATTTGAAACTTACGGCTTTACCAAAACCACCGTATGAATGGTATGTGCATACATATTTTTGGTTTTGAGTCAGGGATATGAAGGATCTATACCAGTTTTCCTCTGTAAGTTATACAGGAAAGTTGTGAGGCACCCAAAGAAACACTTTATAGTTTAAGCTGATGAGAAATCAGCTGGTGGAAAATAGCAAGGAAGAACGATCTTGATCCAGCAATATTTCTTAAGAAAAAAAAGAAGTTAAGCATCTGATAAGATGCATTCTGGCCTTCGTGCTGTGCAGAGCAGCTTTATCACTACACAGAGATGTGCTGCTTGCTCTTCCTGCCAGTTGAAGTCAGTGGTGAAACTTCCGCTGACTTCCCTGGTTGCTGCCCTTGGCCCAGCATTTGCATGCAAATAAAGTATAAGAATACAAAGCTTTCTCATATAATTTCTTCTTGTGTCATTTTAACTCTGGCATATCCCTTTAGGAGTGTTCACACTTCAAGAATTCTTATCTAGCTATTTGTCCAGAGACATCTGGTTGCATTAATGGAAATTATAGGAAGAATTACTGGAAAAAATTATCATTGATGCTTAATTTACATAATACTCTTTTTGACATAATTCAGGCCCATCACAGGCACCTTTACAAGTTACATGTAAGGGTCAAAGGGTGAAAGGTGACTGGCAAGATGCTTGTTTTGTACATTTGGCTAACACAAATACTTCCTCAAGTATAAAACGCTTTGATCTCATCATAAGGAAATGCCATATGTGTGCAGCTGTGGCGCATGCCTCACGATTGCTGGAAGGTTAGAAAAAGGTAGCGTACGAATTTGATGTCTGCATTCAATTTATGCTTTTATATTTAGCAGTTCATAATTTTGTGTAATATTTTAGCTGTATGAAAAATATGCACCGGAGTTGAGTGATAACAGATTTCTCTGCGGTTGTTTGGGTGAACACAGAATCCTAAGTATTGCAGACTGAAAATATAGGTTTTAATTAGAGCTGTCTGAGCTTCAAAATACCTGAATGTACATTAAGCTTGGCAGATTTTCAGAAATCTGAGGATTGTGTGGAGCTGATTCAAGCTAAGCAAGCGTCTTCTGTTTTCCAGCATATATTGCATTTGCAGTTGTGTCACTGATTTGCAACACACTGAGGAAGTAAGATCCAAAACCATTATTAATGGTTTTCTGATACGTAAAAATGTTTTATCATGAAGGCCTGTCTTATGTCATACTTGTGTTGAACAATACCTCACTTACTCCAGGGGAATTTCCGTTGAAAAAATTGAATGACTCCCAGAGTAAAGGATCTACTCCACATGACTGAAAAGCCGAATCAGCTCCAAAAGTTTGGCGCCTTTTTTGAGCTTTTGTTTTTTCCTTTTACATGCAAATGTTTAAGAATGATAGGCCCAGATCTGTATCCCTCAAGCAGTTTAACATGAGTGGTTTGCTGTGACAATAAAGAAACCTGCTGCAGTCAATGGGGCACGAGGGTCCATTCACATGGATCCAGTTTCACGACCCAAAAAAAGCATGGCTTTGCTTATTAAAAATCTTGAGTGTGTACAAACATACTAGTGTACCTGGGGGGGGACAGCCATGATTTCAATTAAAGCATATGCACTTTCTACTTACAAGAAAAAATCCAAGTCACAACCAATACACAGGCGTGATACAATAAACAGAAAATCAGACATGAAAATATCAAATTACAGGTACAAATATGATAAAATATAAAGCATGCTCTATGTGTATGTTAATACATATAGGTATACAAAAGTATACATATATAGGTATACATACACATATAATACAGTGGTGTGAATATGATTTTTAGTATTTTATTTATGTGTGTGAGTAAATTCATGCAATTATTCTATATATTATTTGAATATTATTTAAATAATAGCATACTTATTTGTTTTTCTTATGCTGTTTCTCTTTTGTATTTTTGCTAGCTCCTACTGGCTATGGTAGGCTCTACAGATGAAATTCTGCAGGAGGCAGCAGCTGGTTGCATAGCAAACATTCGCAGATTGGCTCTAGCGACAGAAAAAGCAAAGTATGGCTGATGCTTTAGCACCTTTAACCAGCACACTTGTTTTGCAGTACAGCTACATTTAAAGACATAATTACTCCTTCTAGCATTTCATAGCAGAACTCATTTGTATGACGATAATTTAATAACAATAAATCTGTGGAAAATTATGTTTGTTTTTACATTATTGGTTTGTCACGTCTAGGTTTTATAAAACGCACACCTAGTTTTGTGTGTCTTGTCGTATTACCTCTTTCAAAAGACTATCAGTTAAGATATGTCAAAGACTTTTTCTACAGTTAATATGCTTGTATTTGAAATTCATTTAGATATAAATGGTTTTGCATATCTGTGACATTACAATAAATTTTCCTTCACTGCGTGTGTGGTTGTGCAGTGATTTATGAATGTCTTGAACAATTCCCTTCGTGCTAAACTTGTCCAATCATCCTGTCATTATGTTTTTGCCTGTTTGATCACTTGAAATTCACAGGAGAGGACAAAATACAGATACATCAATCTCACATCTGGTGTTATATAAGGACTGCGAACAGCTGTAGCAGTAGACATCACTCCAAATTTCCTGTTTCTACCAACATCAAACAAAATAGTGCGTAATTTTATAAGGAGCTGGTGAAATGTGTTTTAATTAACGTGTTTAACTCAAATTTAAATTTACCAGCTGTAAATAAAAAGTGGAGAATTACATTTACGTTTACACATTATCTTATTGTGGTCTTTTTTTTTAAACTGAGGACAACATTGTATTGATGAAGTTACTTTATTTTTCTGCATAAAATTATATTCAGAATTAGAGTTGCTTTCAATAACCACATAAACAATGATTGATATTATAGATTACAGACCCACTGTACGTACCGTGCTCAACAAATAATACTAAAGCATTTTCTTGAGAGCCGTAATGTCTTAATTACAAGCACAGACTGCTGACAAAACTGGAAAAACCCAAGTGTTTAAATAACTTGTGTTTGTCAAGTACTCACTTCTGAATGATTTTTTTTACTACCCTTAATAATTAACAATTTTCTTGTTTTGGAAGCAGTTTGTAATTTCATTATTTTTCTTCTAACTAGCATGGCTACTCAAGGCAACTAATTTTACTGCTAACAGAAGCTTCTAAGGAAGACAATGCAAATCCAACTTTGTGTTTTCTCTGAAGCAGAGATGAAGGCTTATTTAAAATTTCATTTTAGAATGATGCAGTTCTGAAAAAGGAGGATTGCATTGGGCCCTTAGGGAAGGTATAGAGAGTATTTTAAAGGAAACAAACTACGGACAGGTGCTGACAGTGTGGAGATCAAAATAGTAATCCAAGTAGTATTTTTTGATCAATGCAAACACCAACATAGGCATGGGGTTGTCACAAGTTCCATCAGCAACCAGTGACCAAGCAAATACTATTGTAGGTATTTTCCAGCTCTGCCCCATAGGCCTGGTATGTTATTTTGAAAACATATATATCCATATTATTATACTGATGTCACAGCTGTAGTAGTATCATATGCTTCATCACTATACCCTAAAATAAATGTGAATTGCCAAATTAATTTGGAAGAGGAGAGGCTTGATTTTATTTTTGTCTTTTCTGTGAAAGAAGCGGTAGACACAAATAGTTTATTACAGTCTTGCTTGTGAAAAATATGTAAAATGGTGGCTTATTTTTCTAACTGTTGAGGGGAAAAAACTCCCTGACAATAACTGTTGTCCTTAACATCACCTCTCAAGGCACTCTTGACCATTTAGCGTGGTTTTCAAATGGAATAAGTTCTAAAGTAAACTTAATTTTATGATGCAGGTGTCAGGGCAATAATGTCATGTTCCTGACGATTAAATGGCCTCAGCTTGCCACTCTCACGCACGCTGGTAGCCCTTATGCCTCTGAGTAGTTGATCTGAAGTCTTTATTTTAAGGCCTCAGACAGTTAATCCCAGACTTAAGATGTCTTACTTGTGCCGTTTTCTTTTCCTTTACCATGCCTGCAGTTTTTAAGTTCTGTACAAGGAGAAGAAATGCTGAAATCGATACAGATTGCCACACAGGCAAAGGATCAGTATTTAAAAAAAACATCTTTTTTGGCCAAAACTGGTGGATTCCATGTAATTAATACAAAGAGATTTAGTTGTTGGAAAATAAATAAATGAATGTGATCCCTGGCCTCTCTGAGCAGTGCAGTACAGCGTGTACATTTGAAAAGCTTCCACTTTCTCCACAGGGCTGTGTTGAGTTTCACAGCGCTGCAGCCCTCTGAAAAGGGATCCTCACAAAGCTGGGTCCCACTTTCTGCTCACACACCCCTCCTGGCAGCGCCCGCCAGCCTATTCAAGCCCTGGCACCAACTCGAGCAGCCGCAGCCACCCGGGCCCGGTATTCCCACCGCGTATAACCGGGCACCAGCCTGCTCCCGCTCCCCGGCTCCTGTGACTGGAAGGGAAATGCCTTCGCTCCTTTCTCTTTCCACCAGCTGCTACTTGTCCACATAAACCTGCAGCCTCTTAGGAAATCGGTTATACTGAGCACTGGAGCTCAATATTATATTCAGTGTGGAGCAATCCAATGTACAAATGCCATATAGAATCTTATTTTAGTTGCAAAAATGAAGTGACTTAAAAAGGGGGATCAGCCTCTGTCCTGTTCATCTGCCATCACCTGCTCAGTCTGCTCCCCCGTTTTCTCTATGCAATTCCTGTCTTTTCAGCCTTGCAATAGTTTTTTTTTTTAGTTTATTCATTATTATGTATTTACATAACATCATTACAGCAGAGAGTATCCGTCACTCTTCACAATTTTGGGAGCCAGCTCCCGGCT